CAAGGGCCATGAAAAATGACAGAAAAACACCAAAAGCAGAGACTTTATCTTTTATCCATAGAGGGAACAGGGAAGTGACTTTATCACGTAAAGAAAATGCCTCATTCGATGCAGGCTTGTGGCCGTCTAAACGGAATCACAACAAAGGGTGTCACTTGTCAACAATTTCAACTGGTTTCCTGCTCAAACTCTTCACCTTCGGAATCCTCTGCATTGTCTACATCATCATCATCTGGATCGTTGTCATAGTCTTCTTTATCGTTGTCGACAGCGGTTTTCCCAATAACAGCCATGCTGCTGCTACTCTTTCTGATTTCATTGCACTGCAATATAAGAATGCCAACTTAAACAAGAGAAGAAATATACGTGCTCAAATACAATAGCATCCCTATTTTTAGTTTCAAGACACTTGAACCAGCACAGATCCAACAAATTGCAAAAATGCGCCCTTCCCAATGTTTTCGTTTCTAGGCAACCCAAGGTTATATCGTTTCTAGGCTGTCCCATGTGACAAGTGCCTCCATCCTGCTCAATTCAAACATTACCCCATCTTTGGGTTCGAGCTAAATCTTTATGCAAATATATCTTGAGAAGGTGCAATTTCCAAAAGGATGGACTTCAAACTTTTATGTAGGCAACCGGGGTTGAGAAACCCAGTTGGCCTTGTGGAATTGATAGTGTAATGATCAAGTTGTCTGTCCTATAGACTATATCATACACTTCAAACTATTCGTCTTTCTCCTTGAGGTTTTGTTACTGAAACAACCAATTCTGAACACTGTTCTTCTAGTTTGTTAACACCTTACGATGAAAAACTAAGCAACGATGTAACTCCCGATACACACACAAAGTCCGCTTCTTATTACTGGAAATACCAAAACATTGAGCTCTTTCTTACTCGAAAGACCTTGAAATTTGACCCCCCCCCCCCCCCTTCTGAATTAGTGCAGATATCACTGAGTAGCGTGGCATTCTTCACCACCAACACATGATTTCCGGAATCAAATTGGAGAATTCTACACTCCCAGAGAGACCCACTTCGCAATGAGGATTTGAATCGAGTACACTGACATTTAACAATACCAAGTCTCGAAATAATCCAACAATCTGAACCTTTCATAAGCTTACCTAGATCTTACACCGAAAGACATAAAATGTGACCAAACAAACATTTCATGATTCAAATCTGATCAACAGAAGAACACACACAGCTTATAAGATAACAAATACGAAACGTTTCAAAACCAATTTTCTTTCAGGAGAACCAAAAGAAGGAACTTTCAACAAGGTGCATCCAAGTAACCAAACAAAACTTGTAAAGCTTTACAAGCATATCTAACCCTACAGACAATTCAAATGATGAACACAATAAAAATCCTTACTTTAGTTACAATTTTACAAAATTAGGGTCTTTCTTTCAAAATTAGATCTTATTAGGATTCAATTAGGGTCTTTTTTCAAAATTTCAAGCAATTGGAGCTTTTCCCTCTTTGTTCTTTGGATTAAAATTTCAATTAGGTCGCAATCAGGGGCAATTCGACATACCCATAAAGGAAAATTAGATATGTAAATGATAAAAAAAAAAAATGAAGTTTCTGAAAGCACCTTCTCTTCGAAATCGGACTCCTCCATGGCGAGGAGGAGCTCTTCACTATGGGGTTGGGGCCATTGGGTTGGCAGCAGAAACGACGTCGGTATGGTCCTTGTTGACCACGGGTACTGTTTCATGAACCCCGGGAACTGTAACATTGTTCTCTCTCTCTCCCCGAACAGAGCGCTTCCGTACAAACCTCAGTTACCGTGGAGTGGAGAGGACCTGCTCTGGACTCTCTTCCGTTTGCAGCTGAGATATGAAGAGAACGTGTGGAACCCACGTGATACCACTTAGATTTTAGTAAACTCATTTACGTAATCAAATTGAGAGGAATTGAACTGAAGATGAATTAGATTAGAGAGGAATTTGATTGAGGTGGAATCAGAATCAGATTCTTGTTGAAGTTGTTTACTAAAACTGTCTGAAATCGGAATACAATTCCATAAAACTGTTTACTAATTTAACAAAATCGGAATATAAACCATTATGATTACTAAAATGTCCTTGACTCAAATCAAATATTTTATGTACTTTTTTTAATAAAATTTGATATAGTATATAATAGTAAGAAAAAATTAAATTGCTTTTTTATTTCATAGACATACTAAAATGATTTTGTTTATTTTTTTATAAATTTAAGTATTGACTTTAATATCTAAATTTTCTCGCTCAAGTTGTAGTTTTTTCTCTTCAGCATATGTATGGAGTTGTGCATAATATGAATGAGCATATAATTATGCTTAATGGTTTAGAAGGACATGGAAAAAAATTGTTATGAGTATTTTCAGTCTTAACTCTTCAAGGATATATTTTGTTACATAAAGTCAAGGAGTAGAAGAAATGATTTTTACCATTTCAAATAAAAAAAACTTGATTCTCCTTAAACTAAAGAGATCTTCACGAGGTAGATTTTGTATAATAGTAAATAAATGAAGAAAAAACATTAGGAACAAACAAAGAGTAGGAAATAACTTCATTAAAGTTAATATTTTACATTAAAGTACATCTATTTAACCATCATAACCAACCTAAGCAAACTAGTCATACCATGCCTAGGCATCATATTATATACAAAATATTCATAACCTGCCTACACATTAGATTGTCAACAAAATATTCCTAACCTGCCTAAACATCATAATATCAACAAAAAGTAGTTCTTCACCATCATGGTGTCATCTAATCAGTCATTAGATTTACAAAACATTCACAAATTTCCCTGATATGTCATCATGGCAACAAGCACGTCATAGCAAAAAACTAGCATTCACATTCTTAGGACCATCACTTAGATGTCATTATGCATCCAAGTCTGCAACAAAGTAGTCACATATGCACTCTTCCTTTCATCAGACATGTTGAAAAACACCCTCAAAAGGTCATGTTCTTTGGCCAAGAAGTTGGTGACTTTAAATAATTCCATGGGAGCCAAAAACTCAATTTTGCTCAACTCACCGTCAAGATGTTGTTGCATTTCGGTCAGATTTATATCGGTTGACAGTGCATGAACTAGACCATCAAGCTTAGGTCCCACATCGGCTATAGCTTTAGCCATAATAAAGAATTGCTAAGCCATTTCATCCCCTACTTTTGCTCTCTTGTGACACATGTTTGATGTGTTACTTTCTGCATTCCTTTGTAGTTGGGTATTTAGTACTGAGAAAGAAGTATCAAAGTCATTTCCACTTTCATCCTCACCTTCATGTTGATTGACATTGGCAACTTCAAGTCTAATTTCTTCTTCATCGTCATCAACGTTACCAGCATTTGCACCCACAACACGATCTTTTGCATAAATCTGTCCCAAACTGTGGTAGTGCGGAAAAGACTTATCGTACAATCCACTTGCATCATTTTTACCCTACAAACAAAAAACACAAAATACTTATTATATGTGGTATTTAATTTTTCATTTAGTTGAACACAAATACTTATTATATGTGAAACCATTCTATTTTATCTTGTAAGAATTACCTAAACAACGTTCCATGGAGATTTTTCTTTTTCTATGCATGTTGTTAGTGCATTATCTTGAACTTAGAATCCTTGAAAAATATTTGGCAATTAGTGGGCAATTATTTCATTTTTTGGATAAAGTTTTGCAAAAAAATGCATGAATATATTCTTTAGAGACCTTTGAGGGTCACCCAGGAAATGTTGAAGCAAACATGACAGGTATTTTATGTTCTAATTCAATCACCTGTCCCCTGATTTGTAATTAATAAGATGATGATGTTAACTCTGAGATTCTGAACTCAGTGTAGTTAATCAAGGAACTGAGATTCTAAAAACAAAACACAATCAGATAAAACATAAAATACAATCAAATATATGCAAACCTTCATAGTCTTGTCATACGCACTTTTTTGATAAGCTAACATTATTTTCCCTTCATTCCACTTAAACCCACTGAGAGCTAGCAATTCAGTTAAGGGAAAATATTTTGCCTTCAAAGTCTTGATGTGTGATTCAATGTCGGGAGACAACTTTAATCTACACCCTAGGAGTTTGGCTTCCATCATAGCTTCTATCTTCCCCAAATAACCATTCTTAAAACCAGTGTCAGCTCGCCAAGTCGGGTCACTATGCAACTCAAGCAATGATTCAACCAATATTGTATCCTTAGTAGTTAACCAATAATGTTTCTGTTGTCCCCTTCCTTGTTTCGCAGATGAAACAGAAGTCATTCTACATAACAATATTAGAAATAATAATCATTTCAAATGATTTCAATTACAAATAGGATGTCTTTCTTAACTTAGAAACAAATACAACATTCCAATTGTTATTACACAAACAATATTAGACATAACCATTCCAAATGATTTTGATTACAAACACTGATGTCTTTCTTAACTTAGCAACAAACAAACCATTCCAAATATCATTACACAGTGATGTCTTTCTTAACTTAGCAACAAACAAACCATTCCAAATATCATTACACAAACAGTGATGTCTTTCTTAACTTAAAAAAAAAACAGCATTCCAAATGTTATTACAAACATTATAATATAAAAAGACACTAATGTCCTCATTAAAAGAAAATGACATATCAAACACCGACTCAATGAACCGCCCTATTGTTCCACATTTCTTGGGCAAGGTTATCCCTCCATGTAGTCCACTCATTTGAGGACTCAACAGTGGTAATATAGTTATTCGCATCTGAATTCCCATCTTGAAATTGCCAATTTGCATCGGCTTCTATAAGATCTACAACCATCTCCCTCCTTATAAAATTATGGAGCATACAACACATTGAAATTATGCGACGATGTGTCCTAATGTCGTAATAGGATGGGTTCCTAAGAATTCCCCAATGCATTTTCAATAGCCCAAAACACCTTTCAATGACATTCTGAGCACTTGAGTGTTTCATATTAAAAAACTCAACCGGTGTTGTAGGACGATAACCATCTATCCACTCATTCAGATGATAACGGGTTTGTCTATAAGGTGCAAGAAAACCTTTTCCGTTTGTGTAGCCACCATCAACTACATAGTAACAACCTATTGTTGACAAAGAATTAAATTGTCAAACTTACAACTTTATATCACTTGCAATGCAAAAGCTAAGAATTTTAATTATTAAAAAAAGTTGTGAGTGTTACCATTAGGGACTTTCCATCCATTTCTCCTAGTCACATCACCTCTAAGAACTTAACCATCATGTGCGGACCCTTCCCATCCAGGTAAAACATATATAAACTGCATGTTCGGAGTGCAGACTCCCAAAACATTCGTTGCTATTTCATTTTTCCTTGTTATGTACTTTGGTTTATCACATTCTGGTACATGTACCTTAACAGGTGTTCCATCTAGTGCACCTAAGCAATTCTACAGTATATAAGACACTAAATTAACAAACTAAACTATAAAATAAAAAGCTAGTGATTACTGAGTAGTGTAGGCATGTAGATACTACATACCTTAAACCATTTCCACTTTGTATCGGTTGACTTCTCAGGGATAGGCTTAGGTGTTTGCCAGAAATCCTTTTGGCATCGAATCATTGCTTTAATACACTCATGTGAATACTTATTAATTGTTTGACCAGACATTCTAAAGTGGTGGTTAATTGTGCGATTCTTAAGATGGTGTGCAAGAATGTATAGAAAAAATGCAACCATCTCCCTTATAGACACATTTTGAGTAGCTCGTAGTTGTCCTTTAGTCACAAGAACTTGACATAATATATGAAAGGATCGTCTATCCATTCGTAGTTCAGCAATACATGTCAAATCACTCTCATAAGTTAAACCATGTAAGTATTCTAATTGCTTGTAAACTCTTATAACTGTTTGACAAGGTGAGGGACTTCTAAGGCGCTTTTGGAAACGATACCAAGAATAGAAACAAGTAGCACATGCAACAAATATAGTTCGAAGATAGACAATCAACACATTCAACGCATCATGTAATTTCTTCTTTGTGGACAAACTTAGACGAGCCATTAGTCTACACAAAATAATGAAGAAAAAAAATATCATGAAGGACTTCAATTAACAAGTTAATAAACATATCTGCAAACTGAAATAAATTAACATTACAGAACACAATCAGTCACAAAAATTTACATACAGGGAGCATGAAAAAAAAAGAAGAAGAAAATCGAGAGCATGAACAAAGTCTGTGCCTTGAATTCAAAACAAATATGTTGGTTCAGCTAAAAGGAAAATATGACCTATGTTTACCACAATAGTGTTGAAATAGCAATTGTCTTTTAAAATTCTTCTTGTTCCAGTGAAGTAGCTTATGCCAAACATTGCATCAATCCGATAAAACAGGATATACGAAAAATTGCTTATCGAAACAATAAATGTTGTGTTAACAAATATATGTTGTGACATTTATAAACCATTCCATGTTTACTTACTGGTTATCTTATTTCCCTTCGACTAATAGGTTATTTGCTACTACTAAGATTGAGGACTTTCTCCATATGGACTTGGTAAATTAAAACAATCCTCTAACTTTTCTCCCGTTGTTGATAGAGTGATAACATAATTTACACAACACAAATTGTAGTTCATTTAAAGTTCCTTTGCAATAGCATCAGGTGTTTAATATCCATTTTGTTGTCATATATACTAGGGAATGGAAGTTGACCTGAATACGCAATGAGCCCCTAATAGAAGCAATGTGAATAGCTACAAAATCTCACACTTTTGAGCACACCCAAATCAAAATCTAAAAGAACCCCATTTCAGGAATCCATCATTTTTCTCCCAATCTTTGCAAATATCATCGCATTCAGCTAACCAAATCCTTAAAAGCAGACTAGCAGTTTCCCATAAATGCCAGAAACTCAAAACTATTAAAAAAATCTTTCTGCAATAACATTACTTTGGCAAACTTTGTCTTCTACAATTGAGCAAACCGGCTAATTATTCCTCCCATTTCAAATTTAACGGGAAAACAAAATACAACCCACTACAGAACAAACAATGCAAATCTGAGATTCAAGAGCAAAACACTGAAAAACCATTCCAAAAGTACAGAAAGAGAGAGAGAGAGAGAGAGAGAGAGAGAGAGAGAGAGAGAAAGAGAATGGAGCAGCTAGAAGAAGCATACCTGATGCACAAGCAAGAAATCTGAGCAAAACCCAACTCACAGTTTAAGCTCTGCTTTCTCCAGTCCTCCTCCTCCACTCCCCTCTTCTGGAAAATAAAAAAATAAAAAAAAATGATTCTTTGATTCCTCAGACAGTAAGCTCAAAAGAAAACAAACAAAAACTCATCTTTCACTCTCTCAGTTTTTCACTTTTTCACTCTCTCTCTCTCCCTCTCTCTCTATCCCTCTTTCTCTCCCTATTTCACTCTCAAGTTTTTCGCACACCAAAATATAAAATAAAAAAAGAGAAAAAAATCGGGGAAAAAATTGAACGAAATCCTGGAAAGAAAATCCATCGCTAAGAAGAAGGAAACGAGTAGCGAACGCTGATATTCATCGAGCTCTATGAGCACAGAGATAAAAACGCAAAATAAGTAGGAATTTACCTATCCGTAATTGTGACAAGAGCTGCGGTTGAGAGAAGATAGAAATGAGCTGGGCGAAAAGAAAAATAAATCTAGGGTTAAAAGGATAATCTTGGAAATAATGAAAGTAAGTGAGGGCATAAAGGGAAAAAATTATCATTCCGATTGCTTCGGCAATTCGGAATCCAAATCTTGTATATGTTGGGAATCCAAATCCTCCAATTTCAGGAATTGGATTCCATTTTTTGAGTGGGCCCGACGCACTTTTGATTCTTTCCAATTTTAGTAAACACAGGTATAATCCGTAATCGGAATCGGATTCCTTATTCTCATTCTGATTACGGGTTAGTAAACGCGCTATCAGATTGTATATAATTTCATGTTGTTTCAAATTTTATTTCATTTTTGCTACTGTCTAATGGTATTCCTTTTCACTTGTAAGTGAGAGGTTTTAGGTTCGATTTTCCTAAAAAATAAATTTGAACCACATTAGTACTAGCCTATTATGAGTCTAAACCCTTCCACTCCCCCTTAGTATAGATAATATTGTTGTTAAAAAAAAATATTTACTATAAAAAAAGTGAAGTACAAAACTACAAATAACTACGATGTGTCGCTCGAGGTCTTTCAAGCCTCCTGTTGTATCAATGTCTATATTTGGACCAGGCGAAAGAGATATTAATTAAGTCAATATTTGGACCAGACAAAGAAGATATTAATTAAATTCAGGTGCGTAAGGCCACTCAACCTGATCATATGAAACTGGCCTGGCTTTAAGGTGATTTTAAATTAGTTCAATTTTTTTTTAAACATTTCAAAAGATAATTAAATAATTGATATTCACCCAAATTAGGAGGTGGATGGAGGGATTTGGCTTGCTTTCCAAGTCAATTCTTCTACGCCCTAAGCCTAGCATGATCACTATAAATATAGATCAAGAGGTGAGGATTAGAAGCATCTAAGAATAAGCCTCATGTCTAGGAATTTCTCCCTCACACCCTTATAAGTGGTGGTATTCGTGTTTTCTATCAAAGAAGGTTCGTAAGAATTAGATAGCAATCCAAAATTCGTCAATTCACTAATGTAACAACACATCGATTTATTTCATCTTACACGCATCACAGTATGCATATTAGTATCACATATTATCTTACCACAGTTGAAGAAAATTAATTATATTTATGTACTTTGGAGCCGGTTTGATTGACCTCATTAATTCTCATTTTTCATAATGATTGACTATTTAACTTACTAACGCCTACTAAAAAAATTTACATTAATGTGACTTCTCTCCTTTTTCCTAATAACTGATTATTTAATCTACTAATGTTATCGCAAAAATTTACATTAATATCACTACAATGAATACCCATCGGAATTATAGAGATATTTTTCAAGTCAGTGTTGAATTTTTTTTGTTTCAGAAGTTTTCTAGTCTTGTTATTTTTAGTGAAGCCTTGTAACCCCAAAGTGAAATTCTGACATTGTAATAGTAAAGATTCAGAGGATAATGTCTACTTTTTTCTTTTTTTTTGGAAAAGATAATGTATACTAAAGCAGCTGTGACAACATTGCTTAAGGTGAAGGGAAATGTACATCCATATGTAAGACCTTTTGAATTTTTTATATTTTTAGATTCTGCTTTCGCTATACAAGTATCCTTGTTTTTGTTAGCGTTTCTTGTTGGAAAATAGAAAAGCGGAAAGTATTATAAGATTGAGAAATTAGCGGATTATTTCTCCACTGCGATGCCGAGGCAAATAAAAAAGAAAATTTTAACGAAAAATTTCTGGTACTGTTCACTTTAACGAAAAATCGTATTTTTACACTAAAATCAATCATGATACTATTCACTTTACCCTTTATTTTGTCCTTATCGTTAAAATTCAAAGTTTTCAAACCATTTTTATTAGTTTTCCTAAAAACAATTCCAGAGCGCTTGATGGTGAAACATGCCAAATTCAGGGTATTGTTTTACAACTTGTTACTATTCGCACGCCCCTAAACTCTAAACCTCATGGGTCTCCACTGCTTCTGCTGTGCCTTGTGCCTTCCTGAGAGTGTGAGTTTGGGCTGTGTTTCCTTGCGCCTAACCATTAATTTTATTTATTTTATGTGTTAAATTTATTTTTGTTAAATTTTAGTTTTTCTCATATCACAACACAAAACTATCATCTTCATGTTCTACAAAATGCATTTTCAGTGAAAATTTTCTTATAATCCATGTCAAAAAATTTGAAAACAAGGATATAAATATAAACATAAATATAAAGGTATTTGAAGCTAAATAAAGTAACGTAGGAAGGAAAAAAAAAATTCAAAGGAAAAATAAAAAAGAAAAAAGAAAATAAAAATAGAAATAGAAAATGATACGATTGCTACGAAGCTAGTGGCTTTACCCAGGCAAAGTCACTAGCTTCATACCAAACCCTCATTTTCAATTTTCTTTTTCTTTTCTGTTTTTATTTTATTTTTATTTTTGGTAATTTTTCTTTTATTTATCTTACTACAACAACAAACTATCAATTTATATTCTTCAAAATATATTTTTTTGTACAAAATCTATTACAATTCATATTTAAATACTTGAAACCAACAATTTAAAACTTAAATTTAAAGATATTTTTCTATTTTTCAACCTTACAAATAAATAAAAATTTAATTTCAAGACCTAACAAACAGTAGGATCACGTATACCCAAAAATCTTGCAATATTGTCCTTAACTCCGACGTAGAATATTTCCTTGAACAAAAGCATTGTAATTTACTCCAAAAAATCATTAATTCGACCGAATCAATCTACATTTTCGAGGAATTTTAGAGGTCCTTGTTTTAATATTGTCACTCGTTTTCTCAACAACGCCCAACTCTACATATTCGAACAAAATAACGAGTATTTGTTGATAATATTATTTTTTTGCCGCCAAATATATACAAGAGGCTTAAATCGTTGACGCCATTGACGTCCAATACAATCTCTCCAAAAGTAGGAATTTTAATATTTTTTTGCCGCCCTGGTGTGAACCACCAAAAGTAGGAATTTTGAAAAGAAAAAGTCGGGGCCTCGCGAAGACTTGGAATCTTTAAAGTCTCTGTATCATCTTCTCCAACTTCATTCCTCTCCGAACGCTCCTTCTGTGGAGCTATGGCCTCCACCGCAGTCATCGACGTGCGATATTTCGGAACCTCTAAGGTAAGAATTTGATTTTGTTTGTTAGCTTTTGTTACTTTTTATTTGGTTGCCGAGAAAGTTAGGGAGACGAGATGAGAATTGTAAGTAAAACATATATTTTACGATGAGACTTGGAATCTTTAAATCCATAAAAATCATGTGCAAATCCTTTTGCATGTTTCTATATCATCTCATCGGATAAACTGCCTCTATAGTCGAGTGCCCCGCATGAACCCAAATAGATTGCCTTAAGGACCGGTAATCCGTCTCTCTGAAATCTTCAGAGCATGTAGTTTCGGTGTTTCTAATCGAAAACAGTAATTAGATCGATAATTCTTTTTATCTCGGAAATACAAAACAACTTTTTTGAAAAATTTATCAATGGTGAAACGGGTTTATCTAACTAAAGCTGATTAGGTTGGTCATGAAATTTGGAAAATATTATTTGCAAATTTGTGTTCTGAATATTGAGATTTCACGTTATGTTATATTTTTGTTTGGTTGCTTTTGAATGCTTCTAACACCTCACTGGTTGTGTGCCAAAGGTTAAAGTTGGGGATAGAGTGAGGCATCTCAGAGCTCTTGTTGACAACAATGGCAAATTGGATCTCGACATGGGAGGTTTGCGGCAAGAAATTCGCATCCTTTGTAACCTCCCACCCGGTGCTGACATTACTCTAACGTACATTGATGAAGACTATGATGTAGTAACTCTTGTGGACGACAATGATCTGCGGGAAGCAATGAGGCAGCATCTGAAGTCCTTCAGGATCGATGTGCAGATGAACGATAATGACAAAGAAGACTGCCGTAAAAATTCAAGCTCCGAAAAATGTCACGTGACGGATGCTGTAAATGTGACAAGTGATGTGAGTAGTAGCAATGTGTTTGATGAATTCCATCTAGCAAATTACGATCACCATGTTAGTCCTTCTGTTAAACACTCTGAAGACGAATGTGGTATGATGTGCCATGCGAGCATTCGCTGTGGCGTCTGCAATGACAAGGTCGCGACGTTGTGGTTAGCGGCGTTAGCCCTCGTAGTGTCGGTTCGGTTATTATCACGGCGACATGGATCGGAGTGTTAAGTGCTGCTATACCTCCTCTGCATGAAGGGTTTATATTTTCAGCACCATTCATGTGGCAAATGAGCTTGTTTTTGTGTTCAACCAAATAAAGAGAGGCCTTGTTGCTTTGGCTTGTGCAGCAATTTTGAGTCTGCAGGCCAATTAACATATATAGCTTGTTTCTTCCGTTTTATTTCTTTGTGATATGAGTTAATTTTCTTCTTTCTTTTTTGTGAATTGTCAACGAGATGTTGGTTTTCGCAAATGCTCGTAATCACTTGAGTTTGTAGAGCAATTCGTGTAAATTACCATCGCATGTTTACTTACATTTGTCTTATGACTTGTTCCTTTTTATGATTTTTTGATTCATGGTTTTTTACGAGTATTAGGAATAGATGTTACAAAATGTACCATTTTACGTGTTACAATAAAGTTTAATGAATATATTTTACTTTTAAACACATGTTATAATATGAGTAAAATAATAACATTACGTGACCGTATTATAAGTATTTAAAAAAATATCTGATGTAATGCCACAATAGTTATATAAAAAAATGTACAAAATCTTTACCATTATCATCCAAATATTATCATTATTGTTTTTGCCTCATAATTCCATATTTACCAAATATGTCATTGGATCAACACTCCGATCACATGCAAGTAGTCTTTTACCATAGTAATAGAAATATGTTGAGCCCTTGCATGACGGTATAAGTTCAAATCTTATCGGTGATTAATCTAACATTTAGTATAACAAAATCTATCGTTTAAATAAAAAAAATAAAAATATAAACAAATAACGTACAGGTGGCAGTAGCAAACAGATCCACGTATGAGGTTCCACATTTTTTGAAGTGGATCTTCCAACCACGAAGAACGATCTTCCGCTTAATAAATCCGCGCACCTATCTTTGGCGAGAAGAAAACGAGAAGTCAATCTAATTTCTTATTCGCTAAGCCAAGAGCAATATATAAAACACACACAAACAACGTATTCTTCTCTGCGTTTCACAGAGAGAGAGAGAGGCGGTGATAGCGGCTGACGGGTACGCTTGGGGCTTGGGGTTCCGGCATAACATCCGATTTTCTCGTTCCTGAGCGGTTCTGTAATTGTATAGGGTTAGGGTTTTACTATTGGTTCTCGGATTTTGGAGCACACTGGTTGGTTGTTTCTTCTGCAGCTATGGGGTCGTCGACCAAGGTCATCAAGGTGCGATCTTTGGGAAGTTTCGGTTTCGAATTTGAATTTTTTTTTAATTGGGTCTTTGGTTTTGGGCTGTTTGGTTGATGGGAAAGTTTTGGGGGAAGGAAAATGGGTTTTTAAATTTGACATGCGACTGAGCTGTTGAGTGAAATGGGGTTCTTGATTGATGGATTTATGTTTGGGTTTTGGTAATTGGGGAGGGTTTATGTGATGATAACTTTTGAATTTTGAGTTTTATGATGCATCGCGTCTTTATTTGATTGAATGTTTATTTCTGGGAAAGATTGTTCATTTTTTGGATAATCGGCGTATTAACATGGTTAATCTATCATCGGAGTGTTACCATGGTTAATCTAGTTTTATGATCAATTTTGATTTTGTCATTTGCACTCAATTTGTGTTAACATTTTTTATTGTTGGGTTTGAAAAGATTTATTCATTTTCTTTATCTCTCTCTTGTAATACTGTTCTTGTTCGATGTATATGCTTATTAACCGTAATCCATTTCAGAATAATTTATCTGTGTTTGTTTTCTGTTCGAGGTTTTACGTGGTTGCGTTATCAGGATAATAATTAGGTTTTGGGTTTTTACCAACCACACTAGATGTTGGCATCATATTATACAATTGTCAAACCCCTTAGACTTGTTATAGCTGTTGTGTTAATCTTAAAATATGAAAATTTCTTGAATTTTTGTAAATATTCTTGCTGGATAGCTGAATACGTAACTCTTTGTTAGTTATTTCAAGTCAGTCAACAGCGTGATGCAATCAATTTACATTCTATGCTCATTTGGTTACTTTCGTATGTACTAATATGCAACTGGTTGTCCTAAAGGTTCAATATGCGGAAACACTGAGGCGTTTCAATGCTAGTGTCAATGAGAACAATCAACTGGATCTTGACATGGTTGGATTGCGAGAAAAGATCTTGAGTCTTTTCAATCTCCGCCCTGATGCTGACATTACTATGACGTACATTGATGAAGATGGTGATGAAGTGACTCTTGTTGATGATGGTGATCTGCATGACACGATGAGGCAGAAGCTCAAATTCTTGAAGATATTTGTACAGATTAACAAGGATAAATCTGCCAAGTCAAGTGGAGGTTCTACTCCTTTGAGGTCCCCTCAAGGTCCACCTCCAGTACCAAATTTTGATGCTGGTGCGGCACTGAAGTCCCTGCCAGAGCCATTTCGGGAATTTGCTTCTAAGTTTCCTCTTGAATTGGCTTCAAAATCTGCATCATCCAGTCCGGTGTTTGCGGAGCTTGTTGACTGGTTTTCAAAGATGGGCCTATCGTACTTGATTCCAGATGCCCAGGTTCAGACCGCTGGAGATTCAAGCAAGCAGAGCGGCGCCTCTGGGAGTGCCGTTGCTCCATCAGCTGCTGGTAATTCAAATGATCTGAAGGGTGATGGCAAGTCAAAACCCATCTTAAAGTCTGCAGCTGAGGAATCAAGCACCAAAAAAGGTCAGGCAACGGATTCTGTGAATGTGACCAAGGATGTGGGGATGTCTGCTCCACCTCTTCATGCAACTGTTGATCTCAATTTCCTTCCTACTGATTCTAATCTATCAGGATCCACGCCTGTAAATGGTGCACCAGCTGGATCAAGTTTTCACACCAGTGAGGCAAGGAAGGAGTCTAAGGAGCTTCCCAATGGTCTTCTCAATATTCAAAAGAAACTTCACAGCAAGAAGCCTTTTGGTTGTGGTGCGTCAACAAGTTCAGCTTTCCTTGCAAGCCATATTAATGGTATGATTAGTAATCGTTTTAACAAATGTTCACTTACAGAGACTCCCATTGCAAATGACTCAGCTACTCCTGCTGCCTCTCGGCGTATTCCTTTCAAAAGAAATCACTCCAAAGCGATGGGTGGAATGTTCCACACAGGTGTTCAGTGTGATGGCTGTGATTGTCATCCAATTGTTGGACCTCGATTCAAGTCAATAGTGTAAGAATGGAACTTATCAAATCTCTGATGCTAAGTTGGTAATGAAACTTTGTTGAACTCTCAATATTGATGTTACTTTCTGTTTCTTTTCCGCAGGAAAGAAAATTATGACCTCTGTCAGATTTGTTTTGCAAGTAAGGGTAGTGCGACTGATTACGTTAGGATTGACCGCCCTATCTCTTATCGTCATCCACAGCCCTTCAAGGGGTTGTATGAGCAAGTGTGTAGATCCCTTTGATACTTTTTTTTTCCCCCTTAGATACCATATTTTATTTTTGTTATGAATTTGACCTTTCCTTTTCATCCTTAATGGCAGCCTCCATGGGTCGGCCCCCCAGTTATGCCAAAAATCTTGAGGTTTAAGTATGAACCCAGGCCACCCTAAGCTTGATAGCCACTTTGTATTGGATGTCAATGTAATGGATGGTACATTAATAGCCCCCATCTACTCCATTTACCAAAATATGGCGGATGCGCAACAACGGTAGTATGGTGTGGCCTCAAGGAACAACACTTGTGTGGATTGGGGGTGACAGATTTAGCAATTCAGATTCAGTCGAGATAGAGGTGCCATGCTTTGACATTGTTCTGAAATTGTTTGAGTCATGTTTAATACTTACTTATTTGTTGCCCTTGCATATTTCCTGGGTTTTAGTTGACACTTTTATTCATTTTCGTTTTAGTTCTTTTATTAGTGTTTTTTTTTTTTTTTTGGTCATTTTTTAATTTCATGATTCGTTACAGATTCCTGCGGATGGTGTGCCGGCTGAAAATGAACTCGATATTGCCGTTGATTTTACTGCCCCCGATTCACCTGGTCACTACATCTCACACTGGAGGATGGCAACCCCGTCTGGCCAAAAGTTTGGTCAACGTGTTTGGGTTCTGATCCAGGTATCTTCCTCATTACAAAGCAGATATAGTTGTGCTTTTTTGATGACCTCTATTTATTGTATTTTTTTGCATTCAGGTGTATGTTTTCTAGAACAACTTTACGCTCTAATGCCAGTAACTAGACAAAGCTTCTTATACTTTATTCCCTTGTGCAGGTTGATGCTTCCTTGAAGGATTCATTCTTTGAGAGCTTTCAAGGTCTGAACTTGAATTTGCCCCCAAAAGAATATGAAAAAATGGATGTGAACGTTCAACCAGCTGCTGTCAGTGACCTTCTCCAGCCTTCTGCTTCTACCCCACTCAAGGAACCGGTGAAGCCCGTGCCTACTGAACAGCCTGGACATGACCAGGAGCTCCACTTCCCCATCAACGATAGCTTGCTGGTTGGCCACAGTGCCTCTGCCCCTACTGAGCCACAGGGTCCTTCAACTGTGTCGTATCCCACTGTTGAGCCACAGGGTTCAACTGTGTCGTATCCCACTGTTGAGCCACAGGGTTCGACTGTGTCGTATCCCATGGTTGATATCTATGAATCAGCCCCACCCTCCCCCAAATCACCACCTGCTGTCAATGCACCGGCATCATCTGAAGGGACCAGTTCAAACAATGCTGTGGAAGATACCATGCTGAAGGAGCTCGAGGCGATGGGGTTTAAGCAGGTCAATTTGAACAAGGAGATTCTGCGTAGGAATGACTACAACCTGGAGCAGTCTGTCGAAGATCTCTGCGAGGTTTCGGACTGGGATCCTATCCTTGAGGAGCTGCAGGAAATGGTAAGTTGCACAACCCGGCCTTGTCTAAATCTTGCCGGATAGTTCATCTCCAAAATTTTGGTGTTTTCTGAGTAAGATGGCTTTGTGCAGGGTTTCTGTGATACCGAAATGAACAAGAAGCTGCTGGTGAAGAACAATGGAAGCATCAAGCGTGTGGTTATGGATCTGATCAACGGGGAGCCGCTTTAGATGGAAGACAACTACTTATAATCCCTGTTAATATATGTGTGTGTTTGTGTTTGTGTCCGGAATAATGGACTGGCATTTTGCCATTTGCAATATGATGCTTTGATTGCTTTTGGGGACCATGTGCATTGCATTCTTAGTATATAATTATTTATTAAGTAAATTGGTACTGATATCTAAGTTATGGATTTAATATAATCTCAAGTTATGTATTCCTATCTCCCTTCCCCTTTAATTTCTATATTTTTGGATGTCCCGCATGACTTTATTAATAGTTACGTAAGATGCAGACACCAATATGGCAGTATCTCAAACCGATGAATCGTCATGGTGCAGGATAGCCTTGAGATACAGGCGTTTTTAGCATCTTGGTTGCATGCAGTATGTCAAACCGATCAAGTATCACGATGCGGGATAGGCTTGAGATACAGTCGTTCCAGCATTCCAGTTGTAAGACCAATGTCGGTGCTTTTGAAAATAAGGAAAATTAATGAAAATTGTTTGAAAACTTTGAGTTTTAACGATAAGGACAAAAATAAAGAGTAAAATAAATAGTATCAAGATTGATTTTTTGTGTGTAAAAATGTGATTTTTCGTTAAAATAAACAGTACCATGAGTTTTTCGTTAAAATTACTTTGAAAATAAGGTGGAGTTGGCAAGTTTGCACGGCAAATTAGACGGTTGAAGCGACTTATCTTGTAACGTTTATTTTATTTTTTTGGAAATCTAGATATAGCATTATCCGGGCAAAGATGCCAGAGTTTAATAGGAAGGCCTACACAAAAGCAAACAGCCAACAACAAAGACTAGAAAAAGGTAGAGCAAGGAGGTTACAAGAAATCCGGACGCCACACCAAATGCTAAAGCGTCTCTCCTCGCACTACCATAACTAACTAGTGGGGACAAAGAAGACCGTCATTACACAAAATATGAATAAGGGAAGATGGGGGTCTGTCGACCCAAATAAGATCACATACTTCCTTACAACACCGCAAAGCCAAAATATCCGTTGCCGAATTGGCCGATCTTGAAACCCAAGAATACCGCACTCTTGAAACCCCCCCCCCCCCCCCAACCAATTACCGCATTTCGCAATAAAAGGAAAAGCTTCCCAGCTGTCGACCTAAACGTTTATTTAGTCAATGACTGAAACGTTGCAAGTGATTTGGCAGAGAAAGGACAAAGACTTTTTGCTGCCTTGTTTGCTCGTTTAGCAACATGTCACCTCTCCTTTCCCACCGTTCGCCTCTCGGCTTTATAACTGCCCCCCACAACCCTCCCTTTTCTTGCCACATTTTTTCCTTCTTTCTGAGGTGGTCTCATTATAAGTCCCTTCTGAAAATGAAACACTGCTCGACTACTTACATATAACGGGTCAATGTTTGTTACTTAGTTTAGACTGTATAGAACACTGATCGAATTCAGTCTGAGTTCAGATGGCTACCAAAAAAATTTAGAATTATCTGAAGTCGGCTGAGGAGGTTAGATGACTAGCTGTGATTGAAGTGAAAGTACAAGTAGAAGACAGGTAGTCAGTTTCCGTGTGCTCTTGATTAGTTTATGGCTCCCACGCGCTCAGGGTAAGTTGACGATTGACTTCGTAAACTTTATTTTTGGTAAATTAATAGCATAAACTTTCTAATTAGTCGATTGAACTCTTACCGTTAGGTTCCAACCAATTTGTTGTTAGAGCAACTCCAACATTGCAAAGGTTTCCTAAGGTAAGTCACTATTGAATAGTCTTCAATGAACAGTAACTGCATTTTGCATCTGCACCCCTACAGTGAATAGCCATGGCAATAGGCAATAAAATATTAGTATTTTTTATTTTATAAATTAATACAAAATAATTTTATTTTTAATTTCGGATAAAATTTGTAATCGTTCTCGTTGTGCCATATGTTGTTATCCGAGAAGACAATTTTTGATGATAGATTTCGATAAGATATTTATCCAATGCTCTCGTGCCACGTGTCGTTACATTTTCAGAATCATTGAGGATAAATTTTCAATAAGATTTTTAATCAATCACGTCGCGTCATGTGTCACAATCAGTTTATAATCTTTGAGGATATATTTCGATCAGATTTTTAACAAATGATGGCATGCCGCGTGATATTATCTACAACCTAATCCTTTCTTTTTCCTCCATATAACCCACCATCCATCCTAAGAAATCACACACCAAAATCAAAATCTCTATCATTATTCATAGTTTATGCTTTCTTCTTATAATGTCTTCTTCAAGGATGTTGTGGGAAATCGATAAGCAAGAGAAAGAATTGTTTAAGCAAGAATAAATGTTCAATCTCCAAGTGGGTGAACATGTGATGGAAGAGGAAGAGGATGAGGAGCGTAGAAGGAGAGATGACGAAGCAAGAAGCCAAATAGCCTCACATTCATGTCGAGTCATCCAAGTTGTGGCTCAGATCTCCAGGCCCAGTCGTTCTGCAAACCTTAATAGAAGCAGGCAATGACAAGATACGGATCTCTTGGACAATTATTTTGTTCGTAATAGTGCATTCCCTGATACGTACTTTAGACGTCGTTTTAGAATAGAATGACATTTGTTTAACAAAATCATGATTGCAAGCAATCATGATTCTTACTTTGTGCAAAAGAAGAATGCTTTTGGTGTTATGGGTCTCCTTCTGGGGTAAAAAATTATTGCTGCCTTGTGGATGCTTGCATATGGAACATCTGCAGACCAAGTAGATGAGATAGCGAGGATGGGGAAATAAACCATTCTTGAGTCCCTGATGAGGTTTTGCTCTGCAATCGAATCTATCTACACTGCAAAATACCTCTGGAGACCTACTGAGATGGACTTGCAAAGGCTTCTGAAGAAGGTTGAGATGCAAGGTTTTTCTGGGATGATTGGAAGCATCGACTATATGCACTGGATCTGGAAAAGCTATTCAAGTGCATGGTAATGAGCTTATGGGGATAGAAATGGAGCAAAAATATCATTTTAGAGGCAGTGACATCATTTGATACATGGATTTAACATGTTTTTTTCGGTGATTCGGTGGCTCAAAATGACCTCAATGTCTTTGCCCAATCCCTAGTGTTCAAAGATGTCCTGTAAGGAAAAGCACCAAGAGTCACGTACTGGGTCAACAGACGTAAATACCACGGGCCATACTACCTAGCAGACGACATTTACCCAATGTGGTCATCGTTTGTCAAAATAGTGCCATGTCCGTGAAGTGCAAAGGAAAAATACTTTGCAAGCTGTTAATAGGGATGTAGGAATGATGTGTAACGTTGTTTTGGTATCCTCCAAGCTTGTTAGGCGATTGTCAGTGGTGCTACTAGAATGTTTGATTTAGAGTCGCTTTGATCCATCATGATGACGTGCATCATTATTCACAACATGATTGTGGAAGATAAGTACGATTATGATGCCGTTGATGAATATGAGCCAGACACGATGAACACTTCCAGAACATAAATATATTGTGCTTATGACACCACCGAAGAACCCGTGTAACACGAGCCATTACAAAGGGATGGACGTTACAATGAAAGGCTCATTCAATGATACACTGCACTTCAGGACCTATATATGCACAATACCCGGCAAATTAACTTGATAAAGCACCAGTGGGAATTGAAACAAGCTGAAAAAACTTAAGTTCATTTAGTGTGTTTGTTTTTATTTGGTGTGTTTTTTAAGTTCATTTAGTGAGCTTTTTTTTTTTTTTTAAATTTGGTGTGTTTGTAATTTTATTCGGTATGTTTATGTAATTTTATTTGGTGTGTTTATGTCCTTTAAATAAAGATTTTCTTAGTTTAAATAGATTACCAAATTAAATAAATATACTCTTAGTTTAAATAAATTACCAAATTAAATAAATATACTCTTAGTTTGAATAAAGTACTAAATTCAATAAATTGGAAACAACATAAAGTACTATATTCAATAAATAAGAAATTACAACCCAAAGTGATTGAAAAATTATGGGCTACGATTAAAAACAAATTCCCTAGTCCTTCGTGAATGGAATCATCACCTAACCGATTTGTGGTGCTAGGATCATCTCCTCTTGTGGTGCTAGGACCATCTCTTCTTGCTCTCGCTTCCCTTGCACGCCTCATTCGCACTAAGCCCGCTTTCTCCGAATTCCAAAAATATTTAGAATTCGATGACTTCCCCTCTACAGGCTCCTTCATAATGTCACGATCATGTTGAGCCATTCTTTCTTCTTTAAGCTCTTCCCTTTCTTGCCTAAGTAGCTATCTTTCTCTCTCATTAGCTTGAAATAATATTTCAGCAGCTGCAGCTTTTGCCTCCTATCTAGCCTTATCAGTCTCAAATTTACCCATTTCCCGCGCCAAAGTCAATTCACCTTGGCAAGCAAGTTCTTCCATATATTTTTCATAATCATTCTTGGAAGCACTTCCTTTTCTCTTTGAAGCCTTCTTACCTGGAGGCCTAATTGGATATCGGGTCGACCCCGACGCTTGTTCAGGGGGCGTTTCCGGCACTTCTTCTGTTTTGGTTTCATGAACAGGCATAGAGTGTAGAGGGGTGCTGTTCATGACAACTTCTGGACCGATAAGCACAACTCTGAATTTAGGACAATCTTTGACAATATTCCAACATTCCCACTGGGTGAATGATTTGTTTTTGTTTTTGGTTTTGACATTATACCAAGCTTGTGCTTGAAATGTCTACACAATGCGGGAGAAGAAATAATTATAATCAAAGTAGCTAATGTCACATCTCGACCCGAGCCCCCACCACATCCCGGGCTCGACTTCATCGTAGCACGATATTGTCCGCTTTGGGCCTCGACCACGCCTTCACGGTTTTGTTTCTGGGAACTCACACGAGAACTTCCCAGTGGGTCACCCATCCTAGGAATGCTCTTGCCCAAACTCGCTTAACTTCGGAGTTACGATGGAACCCAAAGCCAGTGAGCTCCCAAAAAGCCTCGTGCTAGGTAGAGATGAGAATATACATATAAAGCTTACATGATCCATTCCCCTAGGCGATGTGGGATCTAACAATCTACCCCACCTTAGGGGCCCAACGTCCTTGTCGGCACACTTCCGGCCAGGGATTGGCTCTGATAGCTAATCTAAATTTAGGTATAGTATAAACAAATAAATAATATATTGTTACCTGATCCACTAAATTTTCCCCACTTTGAAGATTAGAACTAGTTTTTGCCAAGGCGTCCCTCCAAAGACTAAACGATTGGC